GCAGCCGCGCAGGCTCCGCTGTCGGGCGCGGGCCTCTTTCCTCCAGTCTTCGCCTCCGTGACAAACATCTACGCTTTTTCAATTAAAAAGTTTACAAATCAGTTTAAGTTGAAGTAACTGCAACAGAACACTTATAAGCCAGAAATACATTTTTTTTTCCTTTTGCAATTAAGGTGGGGAATACAATTTTACACAACCCGTGAATTTCTTCATTACTGTTTTTAATGACAATTCGAGTGAGATAATGACACTGGTAATAACAGAGTTGTGGAGAGGTTATAATTCGGTGTGCAGTAAAAAATAAAACATTTACACTCAATAGCAACATTTACACTCAATAATGGATTAGTGAACACTGAGAGCCAAATTCTGGCATGACATGAACTGCTGCAACTCCAGCAATCCACTCCAAGGCTGAACTTGGCTCAGTACCGTCATGAATTATGTGCTTTTTACATAATACTAACAGCCTTGTGCTTGTACGTGTGCCTTAGAATTTATCCCTTCTAAATTGCACACCATTTTGGCCTAGCACCTACTTTGTTTTTGCAGCAGCACCCAGTCAGCCTCACATGTGCCCTCAGAGTCCCTCCACGTTCAGGCGCAGCTTCGCTCACCATGGTTTGAAGCCAGCACGTGAAATCCAAGGGAAGCAGATAGTGCATCAAGTCCCATGCAGCGAGCACAGACCCTCAGGGGTGCTGACCACAGTAAACAACTGCTTCACCATATACCACATCGCCTTCACCATAGCGATACTGTGCTCCGTGCAGGGCACTTCCCAGCACGTACAGGGATTTGGGTTTGAGCATCCGCCCAAAGGTGCCCATTTATTTAATACACTAGAAACAAAAACATGGGCATGGATAGGAGGTGGGATCCACATGCTGCTCTCTAGAGCACAAGCTCTCCGTACTGCCCAAACGAGGCTTCCTTTTATGTCTTAATTCCTGAATTATGTAAAGAAGTATCTTGCTGGTGCTTAAGTGTTCTTGCGTTAACAGTCTGTTCTTAATCAGCAAACCATGTACTGAATTTTAAGCATGCCCTTGGTAAGGTAATGGGATTCAAGCTGATTCATAAATTGCTTTGTCCGGAGATGGACAAAAACTGGTGCTGCAATTCATTCCTGAATGGGGAACGGAGGCAAACAGGGTGTCTAAATACTGTACTGGACTGCAGCTCTGCCTCAGGAACAGTTCGTTTCTGTGGCTTTGAGCAAGTCACACACACAGCCGTGATTTAACAAGCGTACGCTCAGGTTTTGCCCAGATGGAAAGATCCTGCCCCAGATTTCCCAAATCTCGGAAAAGTCAAGGGGAAGGAGAAACTAAGTATATGCAAACAAGTGCAAACTCTTGGTCCTTAAGTCCATTGGCTACTGCCATCCACGCCCAAGAATTTATCTTGCTAATCCATGTCTGTTCCTTTGAAAAGGGCAGTAAGGCAGGGCTACCACCCCCACGAAGAAGAGGCCAGCCCAGGAAGGCACGGAAAGGTTCCTCAAGATGGGCATTCTCTGATAATCCAGCTCATTTCTTTTGTTCATCCACCTTTGCAGATGATTTAATTTCCAGCAGCTTCTTAACCATTGCTGAGTTCCCCTTCTTTGGCAAGCAGGGCTCACAGAGCATCTAACGAAGGCCTAACAAAATCACATCTGTGCAGTGCTGAGAACATGCAAAGTGCAACACAAGTGCCAAACATTTCTATTAATGAATGGTTAATGAATTTAAATTCCAAGGATTACATGCACAGGTAACTAGGGCTTAAATACTACGCTCTCTTCCG